TAAGCATTTAAAGTTCAAAAATTGACAAAATATGGAAAAATCACGAAAATTAGCAAATTATTTTGAGTTAAGAATTCGTAAACATTTTTCTTTTTAAATCTAAGATTTGAAAATGAAACACAAGATTCCTTATAAGATTATCTACCTTTATCAATAAAAAAATCTCTACCGGACAGTCAAATTAAATTTTTATGAGCGTTTGAAATTCAAATTTTTACAACATTGGATTTTCACTCGATTTCTCATGTAGCGATTTCCTTATTTTGTTGTAATTCAAAAACGAATAACTGTAGATACATGAAAATTTCACTGAATGTTTATATTAGCATTTCCTACACACCATACAATTTTGAAAATATTTTGACTCTTTTTGAGCTGTTTATGGACATTTACAGCTTTCAATTTTTTTTAGTTTTTTTTTCTATAAATATCAATAAAGTTTTATCTGTTGGGCCAAAAAGTATAAAAATTTAATACAAGGCTCCTGATATATTGTTACAATATCAGTTGAAAAATATTAAAAATACATAGGCACGATTTTTTTTATAAGCATTTAAAGTTGGAATTTTGACAAAATTTATCAAAATCTCGAAAATTATCAATCGTTGGAATTAAAAAATTATAAAATGTTCAGTTTTTATAACTAAGAGTTGAAAATTTAAAACAAAGATTCTCTTAAATAATTCATACTGTAACCAAAAAATCTAAAAAATATATAAACACACTTATTTTTTACAGACATTTTAATTTCAAATTTAGACAAAATTTCATATTTAACCCAAGAATTACGATTTTTGTTTTTTTGTTGTGATTGAATAATACTATTCGTGGGTACTTGAAACTTCTAAAGTGTACTATTATATATCTATGATAGTATCACGGTTTTTGTTGATGTATAACGCGTTATAAGTATCTAATGGATATTGTGATATGATTAATTTGGAATTTATTATAGGTACCTATTATAGGTCAATTTTTTGTTTAATACCATAGATATGTATATAATATGCCTTATACATAGACTGACATACCATCACCGCTCAGAATCGTTTTTCTTATACAATGATATTATATCATTGAATTCAAATTTAATACCATCCATTATACAGTGACCCACTTGTAACCTACTGTACAGCAGAGCGACACCCACTTGCCCACCTTTTTTTTTATTTATATTTTTATATTTTTGTGTCTGTCATCACGTTTTAGGACAGTAAACGTGCTTCGATTTTCTTCAATAGTACCTTTTCTGATAGAAAAGTGAATCTAGTTGGTACTTTGGGGGGTCAAAAGTAAACATTTCCCAGTAGTTTTCACAAGCGCCGGGAAAAACAACATAAAAATTAAGGAAAAACGGGAATTTTTACGCAAAATTGGTTTTCCAAAAAATCGATTTTGGTTATTGGTGTAACTCTAAAACAAATGAACGTATATACATGAAATTTTCACTGGTTGTTTATATTTGCATTTTATATACACGATAACATTTTCAAAATATTTTGATTTATTTTGAACTGTTTAGGGACATTTTCATTTTCCATTTTTTTTTAGTTTTTTTTCTAAAAATATCAATAAAATTTTATTTGTTGGTTGCGAAAGCTTGAAAATTTAATAGAAGGCTCCTAATATGTTGTTTCAAAGGCAGATGAAAAATATTAAAAATCCTTAGTCACAATTTTTTTTTATAAGCATTTAAAGTTCAAAAATTGACAAAATATGGAAAAATCACGAAAATTAGCAAATTATTTTGAGTTAAGAATTCGTAAACATTTTTCTTTTTAAATCTAAGATTTGAAAATGAAACACAAGATTCCTTATAAGATTATCTACCTTTATCAATAAAAAAATCTCTACCGGACAGTCAAATTAAATTTTTATGAGCGTTTGAAATTCAAATTTTTACAACATTGGATTTTCACTCGATTTCTCATGTAGCGATTTCCTTATTTTGTTTTAATTCAAAAACGAACAACTGTAGATACATGAAAATTTCACTGAATGTTTAAATTAGCATTTTCTATTCACCATACAATTTTGAAAATATTTTGACTCTTTTTGAGCTGTTTATGGACATTTACAGCTTTCAATTTTTTTTAGTTTTTTTTTCTATAAATATCAATAAAGGTGTAGCTGTTGGGCCAAAAAGTGTAAAAATTTAATACAAGGCTCCTGATATATTGTTACAATAGCAGTTGAAAAATATTAAAAATACATAGGCATGATTTTTTTTTATAAGCATTTAAAGTTGGAATTTTGACAAAATTTATCAAAATCTCGAAAATTATCAATCGTTGGAATTAAAAAATTATAAAATGTTCAGTTTTTATAACTAAGAGTTGAAAATTTAAAACAAAGATTCTCTTAAATAATTCATACTGTAACCAAAAAATCTAAAAAATATATAAACACACTTATTTTTTACAGACATTTTAATTTCAAATTTAGACAAAATTTCATATTTAAACCAAGAATTACGATTTTAGTTATTTTGTTTTGATTGAATAATATTATTCGTGGGTACTTGAAACTTCTAAAGTGTACTATTATATATCTATGATAGTATCACGGTTTTTGTTGATGTATAACGCGTTATAAGTATCTAATGGATATTGTGATATGATTAGTTTGTAATTTATTATAGGTACCTATTATAGGTCAATTTTTTGTTTAATACCATAGATATGTATATAATATGTCTTATACATAGACTGACATACCGTCACCGCTCAGAATCGTTTTTCTTATACAATGATATTATATCATTGAATTCAAATTTAATACCATCCATTATACAGTGACCCACTTGTAACCTACTGTACACAGGACCGGCTCAAGCGAAAATAGTGAACTAGGCAAAATCAAATTTTGCCGCCCCTAATAATATAATATAATCAGTATTTTTAAAATGCCGCCCTCTTACTAAAGTGCTGCTTATGTGCCGCCCTAGGCGTGGGCCTATGTCGCCTACCCCTTGAGCCGGGCCTAACTGTACAGCAGAGCGACACCCACTTGCCCACCTTTTTTTAGTATTTAAGTGTTCTTTACAAGTTACAACTTTTAACCCTGTATACATAATATATACAATATATAATATTGATAATAAAATATTAAAATGTAAACACTTTAGCGTATATTGAATAGATATGATGGTACTTGATATATTAATTAATAGTTAATACCAATGAAAAAAAAAACTTTACTTTATTAAAACTTAATAACAAAAAATACATAAATATTCGACCTGTAATACAAATTTAAATCAATATCTTTTGATTTAAACCGAATTACAATTAAATAGTTTAAGCATGGAGTAATAGGTACATATTTTAATGTACCCATAGGCGGCAACTAGGAGGGGCATGAGGGTGCAGTTGCACCCACGACAAATTTTCTGGGGGGCAAAAGTATCATTTTGCACCCACACACAGACAATCACAACAGTAAAAAATATTTTAATTATTTTACTGTTAACAATTATACTGATATAATGTAATTTTGATATTAAAAAATAACCATGGATCATTTCAATATTTTATATCTGATTACTCAATTAATTAGTTAATTAAATAATAAAATAATTAATTAATTATACTAATAATAATAATTAAATAATGCAGTAAGCTAATTAAGCTATAAGAAGTTTTGAAGAATTGAGAACAGATGACAATTTTCAGAAAGTATGGGAAAGGCTACTATTGTTTCAAAAAATAATGGTTTTAGTGAGCCTAACCTACCACGCATTAAATCAGTACAGTATGAATACGACTCAGTAAAATTAGGTGGTGGCAAAAAACAAACTATACACACTGTTCAAAATCATTTTCGTATAAATGTATTTTTTGGAATTATAGATACAGTAATGATGTGCATGAAGAGTAAATTTAAAGAAAATTATTTAAGTTTGTTGAATTCTATGAATAATGTCTTATTTAATAAAAACCCTACTAATCAGTCAATAGGGGAAGTTTGTAATGCATACAAAATAGAATCAAATGATTTATCAAGTGAGATAAAAATATTAAATAGATTATTTATAAATCATGAATGTGATACAATTATAAAAAAGATAAATTATATTAGATCTAAAGATATTCAGACAGGATTCCCAAATTATACAAATATATTAAAGATTTTTTTAACTATTCCTAAAAATACTGCATTTAATGAACGCAGTTTCTCAGCTCTACGGACATTAAAAACATACTTAAGAGTCACAATGAGTCAAGAGCTATTGAGCAGTTCAGCAATCTTATATATACAAAAAGAATACCCTATAGATTTTGATAATATAATTGACAAGTTTGATGCTGAGGCTTCAATAAGAGGTCGTCGTTTGACACTGAAGTAGTGAAGTTGACAAATACCTAGTAATTATGTTACACACAGTTAATTTTTTTTTTTTAATTATTATTTATGTCAAAATAAAAAGTTGTTTTTTAATAATATTTTGTCATATTCATGTCCCACTGTGCAATTTATGTTTCATAACGTTATGGGGACGTTATTATAGTCTTTTATATCAACGTTGCTTTGTAACGTAAGTACGATATAACCGGTTTGTTTTTGTGTGCTAAAAAAAGTTACAAATAGTGAAGTACCACATGAAACGTACCATAGCTGTTTTTGTGTGCTGTTATAAGTTATCAAAAATTAGGTACACATGAAACGTACCGACGTCGTTATCAAGGGGCTCTTGTTATAATTAGACGTAGCGCGTCGGTGTTGTTTTCCAATTTCTGGGTAATACCCTGATACCCCGTATGACCGTATGAAGGGTTTATATTAAACTGTGTATATATATATAATATGTATATTATCAACAATAAGTAATTGACAATATTATAATCGTCAATAAAATTCATTATGTCCTGTGCTCCAGACTCGTTCGTTTGTCTACGGCACTACGCGTTTTCGGTTCTCATGCTCTTATGCTCAGCGTTTGAACGTTCAACTGTACTAAACATTTATTCAATAATCGCATCGAGATTTATTATTTTATTATGGCCGATAATAAAAGAAAGGTATGTTTTACTTTAAAATATTTTTCATTATTTATTTATTAACCTGGTAAGTACCTACATTTTGTAGTTACCATTATTAAGAGGATGGCAGCGCAATATTTTTCTCTCAGACTCATGCACAACTTAGATAAATCGCTTTCACTTACTATCATTGTTTTATGATTGACAATATACTTATATTATATACCTATCGGTTTTATATTTTTTTATTATTTGACTGAATTTGACTTTCAAAATAAAAACAAAATTTTGTAAATTTAAATTGTTTTGAAACAATGTTTAAACAAATCGATATGTTTACCCTCAAAAATTTAATCTCTAACATTTTTGTAATTGGTGATTTTACTCTAAGATTACTCAAAAACATAAAAAAAATGATTCTGCGTAAATGTGTTTTGTCTATGTTGCGCGTGGTCAGACAGAAAATAAAACAAACAGTAGGTACGCTGACATCCTCTGAAGTCTGAACTCAATATAATATAATATGTAACATAACAATATCTGGTATCTACTTGTATAGGTTTCTCCAAGGTGGGTGATTGTCTTATTCCCTGAGTACAATAAGGAGTATAGTGTTGTACCAATAAATTGGTTGACTCAAACCAATCCTCAGTTTTGCTACTGGCCACCTGGAATTGTTGACAGTGATGTCCTACAAATGGCTGAGGATCCTCAATGTACATGGACTAAGTATCAAGTTAATGTTCATGGTGGGAACAAAACTTATGGTAAGCAATTATGAAAACTTATTTAATAAATAGTTAGAATTTATTTGTAAACAATTATAAAAATTGACTCATAAAAAAATATTTGATTTATATCACAGATAACTTTAGGAAAGCATGGTATCAGCAGGTAGAGATTGAAAAATCAACTACGGAAACAGAAGTAGAAGAACACGAAGTCTTAAGACATAAAAGAACTAAAAAGATGCCATCTTTGAAAAATAAGTCTGTATTTGATGTATCTGATGAAAGCGATAATTCCAGAAATTCTGATAGTAATTGTTTAAATTTTCATTTCTTTTATTTGTTAAAGTCATTAGTTATAATTTAAATAATTGTATTTAGGTTGTTTTGATGTAATGGCTTCATCTTCCAACCAACATTTAACAGTAACTGTTCCGGCTGCACCGATAGGTAAATTAGCTTCAACTAGTAGTTTTTCACCAACAGTTGGAGTAGAGTCTGCATATAGTCTGGATTACACAGAATTGATGCCAAAAATATCAAAACAAACCATTCAAACTGCTCATTTGTGTTCTGCATCAGACATTTCACCTAAGGTATTTATAGTTACTTATGTCTTGCCATTATAATGTTTTGTATGTTTATGTATCAATCTAAACGTAGCATATAGATTTTCAACTTGTACTTAATAACTACATATTCCATAATTCACATAAATGTTTTAGCAAAGCAATTCAATAGACACATTAAGTGAGATGGTTCTTCAACAAAATAATGGTAATAATACTTAATACTCAAATATTGAAGTGATGGAAAAATAATTTTTTTAAATTACTTTTGAATAATTAATACCCCATTGGTACCTAATAATATAATAATGTTGTGTTTAAAAAAAAATACAATTTTTATCAATAAATATTTTAACAAAGATAAATCATTAAATATTTCATAATTTAATACTTAAAATAACTGCTTGAATGTATAACTCAGGTCTTTTTTTTAAATTAATAATTGAGTTAAATTAATATATTTTATAACTTTAGCTATAAACTATATATTTGCTTTAGGTTAACTATTATTTTATATCCAGGGATTGTCATAAAAGAAATATAATTTAAAAAAACCGCCTTCATGCCAACCAAGGTTATTGAATCATAATATAGATTTTATAATAATTCATTCTTTATAGTGTCACACAAATTGTATTTAATAAAACATTAAAAAATTAATTAAAAAACAAGATTCCAATTATAATCAAGAAATAGAATGCATATTATAATTTTTGAATAATATAAATTGTATATTCAACATTTTTTTAGTTAGTATGTGTTAAGACCACGCGCAACATAGACAAAGACCAGTTTTTTAGTTAGTATGCACAATGCACATATCTCAATGTTTTTTAGTGTATTCAATTCTGAGCAGTGCTTTTAACTTAAAGTTTTTAATACAACCTAACTTACTCAAACTAAATTTTTTTTTCATCAACTTTTGTTTCAAACAATATAAATATATACTATATTTTAACTGGTATTATAAGTTTTGTTTAATATTTTCTTCTAACATATCTAGATCAAACAGTAAAAATGATGTTGAATAGAATATTAATAAAAATAGCTAATATCGAAAATATTTTATCAAAAAATAATGAAGATAACTCTGCTCTATTAGACGAATCGTTTATATCCAAATTTCCTATTACTAACGCGGAAGGATTTTTGTTGGTAGAAACTTGTATCTTGAATGAACACAGCTTTGTTTCAAAACTGGTAAATTATTTGTTTTCAAATGTTTTCACGTATAAATACAATACATGTATAATGTATTGGTATAACAAATGATAATACATTATTTCATTGTAGAAATTTTTTATTCAATCAATTGGTGGTAGAGATGGCAAAGAACACATAATAAGATCATTGTCTAAACTTTTAACAAATGAATATGCAGGAAAATGTACTATGACTGGTCGTGGGAAGAATATTATCACTAAACTGGGAGATACCGAATTAATCAAAATATTAACAAGTAATATCACAATTTATGAAATCAAATATTTTTATGTGGTGACATAATAATTAGTTTATGAATTATTTTTTTTTTGTCTTAAAGAAGTTATAAAAGAAAATTCCAAAAATAATATTACAAATTCTGATATTGAAGTAGAAATTGCTGAATGGTTGAGGCGTGCTAACACAAGAGTTCACAGAGAAAAACAAAATTAACAACCTCTATTAAATATTTTTATTTTTATTTAGTTTTTTTTACAAAGGACTGTAAAATAAGTAATGTTTGAACTTATTGGTTTTATCTTTAAAGATAAATAATTTTGTTGTTGTTTAGATTATACATAAAAATATAAAATACATTAGTATAAATCTAAGTTTTTACTTATGGTTAATAAATTATATTTATTTATAATAAATATAATAAATATAATATGTTATTGTTTGTTTATTTTCATGACAATAGAAAATCAGTAGAAAAAAAAATGTATTGGAGAAGTGACAAGTAGGTACTTCAGAAAAATGTTAAACGTGGAAAAACAGAAGTCGAACCATCCTAATAACAAAACTCTTCAATCAAATATCTCCAATCTGACTACACCTCATATTACAGAGACTGGTACGAATAAAATTGTAGAATTTAATCATAGTTTGAAACTGTCTATTCCCGAAAAGAGTAGTAATATTTTATCTGCATCATTACTTGATGACAAATTATGTACTAATTATTTTAACGATGACATAGGAGATATTAATTGTAATATACATGATGATGATGCTTTTGATGATAATACCTCTACGATCATAGAATCATTTAATATTGAAGATGAACTAAGATCTTGGGTATTGAAGTTTAAAGTATCTCATAACAGTGCAAATTGTATACTTAGAATAATTAAATCTGCTGGTATTAATGTACCAAAAGATATTCGAACACTTATGAAAACTCCTACTACACATGTAATTTCTAATATTGATCAAGGGTCTTACATTCATTTGGGACTGGAAAATATGATATTACCTATATTAAAAAAGTATGATTCATTAATATATAGTCTAAATAAAGTTTTAAAGATAGGAATTAATTTGGATGGTCTTCCATTATCTAGAAGTTCAAAAAGCCAACTTTGGCCAATTTTAATTGAATTTACAAATTGTAATTTGTTGTCAGAATATGTACTTCCAATAGGAATATTTCATGGAAATTCAAAACCAAAATCTATTCATGAGTTTTTAAATCCTTTTTTATCTGATCTATTAACATTATTAAATTGTGGCCTAAACGTTAATGGAAATATTTATCAGTTTGAAGTCGGCCATGTAGTCTGTGATTCTCCAGCAAAAAGTTTCTTGCTAAATGTTAAATCTTTCAATGCATACTTTGGATGCACTTCATGCACTCAGGAAGGATCTTATATTAATAATAGAATGGCTTTTTTGGAAATAGAATCACCCCTGAGAACAGACGAATCTTTTAGATCTAAAACTCAAGAAGAATACCACAAAGGTAATAGCCCTCTTGAATTATTACCAATTGATATGATAAAGGATGTATGTTTAGACTATATGCATAATGTTTGTTTAGGTGTTACAAAACGTTTAATAGAGTTTTGGGTTAAAGGGAAGAAGGATGTAAGATTAATTGAGAAAAATAAAGTTAGAATATCTAATAATTTGTTAAACCTACGATCGTATGTGCCATCTGAATTCAGTCGCTTACCCAGAGGGTTAGATGACATAGAATATTTTAAAGCTACAGAACTAAGAATGTTTGTTATACATTCTGGATTAATAGTTTTAAAAGGAAATTTAAGTAAACAAATGTATTCTCATTTTAAACTCTTTGTATGTGCATTAAGAATTCTAATAACCCCTGATATCTGCCAAACTTTAAATAATTTAGCACAAAGCTTACTAAATGAGTTTGTAACTCAGTACTCATCTTTGTATGGTGCTCACTTTGTAACATACAATGTACATAGTTTATTACATCTTCCAATGTATGTTAAAGTACATGGCTGTCTTGATAATTTCAGTTGCTTTAAATATGAAAATTACCTGCAATACATTAAAAAGTCAATAAAAAGTGCTAAATATCCTCTTCAGGAAGTTACTAATCGAATAATGGAAAAGCAAAACTATTTTATAGCAAATAATATAACACTTGATCCTATTGTTATTGTTAAGGAGATTAAAAACACAACATCTTCACCTTATTTTTGTCTTGCTGACAGATTATTTGAAAAAATTTTTATAAAAGATCTGAGAGTAACTATTAATATTAATAATAAACGCGATAAATATATTATGTTAAAGAATAACGATATTGTGATTGTTAACAATATTGTTCAGCCACAAAATAAATTAGGCTTCAAGCTAATTGTTCAAAAATGTATGGATTCTTCCTCTCTTTTTACAGAACCAATTGTATCTTCAATTATTGGCTTACATACTGTAAATCCTATTGTTTTATCTGACAACTTTACAGTTAATATTTCTGATATAAAATATAAATGTTTTTTTATTTATTTATCAAATGATAAAGCTATAATTTCTACATTAAACCATTCATTTATTGATAATTCTTATTAATATGATTATTCTTAGATGACTAAATGTATGTATATAATTTCTTATTCTGTATTTGTAATTTTTATTTATTTTAATACCTATATTATCAAATAAGATTTATTTTTAACCTATACCAAATTTATTATAATTTTGTATTCTTGTTAGTGAATGTAAAGTGGTATGCTTTGAACTAAAATGACACATAATAATAGAATGCCTGTGGAAGTTTTGTTATAACTTAAAAGATTTATTTTGTATGTCTTTCGTATTTTGTTTTTTAAATATGTAAATTTGTATAAAATTTTTTTTTAATTGAAATACAGCAGACTGTATTTATTTTAGGCTTTGTATTTAGTTTTCATAATATGTTAGTTATAATATTGTTTTGTTTTTCATAAAATGTTTTGTTTTATATAATTAATTAGCATATATATTTTATTATAGGTGCATATATTATAATCTCAAATATCTAATAATATGTTCTTTATTATTATTAGCATAGGTACCTAAATAAAATACCAATATTTATGAAATATAAACAGTGTATTTATTAATTTATTGTTATACTTCCTTTCAAAAACTCTGGGATCTATAGACTTAATTAATAATTTAAATATTGAATTATATTTTCTATCCATATATTGTGAAGTTATTTCAACATTTATACTCTAAGGAAAAATAGTTTAATTAGCATTTCAGCCTTGTGATACTTGTTTTATCATGGAGTAAGTGGCATTACATTTTGGCAAACATGATAGGTGCAGAACTTAACTAGGTACTGCCATTGACAAAACGGAATGTTACCTATTGAAATATACAGTAAGTACACTCGTGAACCACACATTTTTCTTTTTCCACCTCACACCGTGTTTTTGGTGTTGGGGCTTGGTAGTAGTATGTAGTGATGTAAGTCGGTAATATTACTTTGGTAAAGTATTTTAAAGTAAGTAATTTGTTGGGTACTACTAGTACCTAGGTACCCTACTATCGTAATCGTATGGATAGATATTATTTTGAAATGTAAGTGGTAACTGCAATGGTACAAATAAAATATATATGCGATAATAACCGGAAACATACATATAACGTTTAATGGAAACATATATACGACGTTTAATGAAAACATATATACAACGTTTAATAGAAACATACATGCGATGATTAAAAGTAATGTATAGGTAATATTTCGATGAAACATATATGGTATGATACAAAGAAACATAAAGATAACGTTTTTTGAGTGTAAAATTATTACGGTCATTAGCAAGCACAGCGATGTTACCGTAACGCCAATGCAACACATTTGGGGATGTTACATGTCCTCATGAAATGTCCTAGGAACATCAATGAAATGTAAAATTGCACAGTGGGGTACATATTTGAAATACAGGGACCCAATTGGAATAGTTATTAATAAAGACATTTTTTTAACTACATTTGTTGTAGCAATAGTTATATATTAGGGGGTACTGGGGGGCAACTTCCCTATGGCTTTGTGAATGTTATTACCATAAACGTTTGCACCCACATAAGTTTCTACCAAGTGCCGCCTATGAATGTACCTACATATTATTACTTAAAATTAATTAATGAATGATCAATAAGCTAATGGTAATAATTGTCAGATAAATCGGTAGGATGTAGAGCTGAACTATTTGAGTTTGATTCTGGAGATGATACATTTTGATAAGGGGTTGGTACATTTTTATAGGGAGATTGTGATGACATTGTAGTTAGATTTTGACATTTAACATCTTGCTGTCTGAGAAGTGTTGTAGGTGAAATCTGTACTGGCTGATAATTAACTTTATCTTGTGATGAAATATTTGTATACGATGGTATTGTATTACTTTGGATAGGTGGTATTTGTGGTAAGGTAGACATGGGTTGATCGTAATAAGTATTAGGCTGGTAAGAAGCATTTCCATAATTATTAATTTTAGCATTGAAGACCAAATTATCAATGTTTATTATTTCACGAGTTCTTTCGTCAAAACTTCTCAGTTTTGTTGCCAATAAATCGGTATACAGTTGAACATCATCTTTATTGGGTTGTTCTGAAACGCTTTTTAGTATATCAAATGCGTCTCCCATACGCTTTTTTAAATCCACATCACTTAAGTTGATTTTTTTTGATTTTTTCTTAGCCGGTTCTTTAAAAGTTCAACCTGCTTCAGAGTTCAGCCTGAGTATCTTCCTCACCGATATCCATATTAAGAAGATCGTCATTATTTGGGCTCCTATCTTCCATCAATGACTTATCCACCAATTCCTAACAAAACAATATTACCTTGACTTAAACTTCAAGACATTTTACTGCAATATTATTTTGATTATTATATCTTAATTAAATATTTAATGCCACTGTCTGCTATTATTTTAAACTTATAAAAATATGTATGAACCTACGTGTGCACTGTACTTATACGATATAGGTCAATTAATGGACATGGCTGTTCAAACGTGGGGAAAATTGGACGTAAAAAAAAATAATCAATTAATCAATAAAAATAATAGAAGTAAAAATTAAAATTAAAACACAATTTCAAACAAAATTATAACTCACAATCCTATATAGGCAGTATTAAAATATTTAAATAAAAATAAAAATAATTTTTTTATTTATTAATTAACCCATGGCAACTAAGGCCAATGAGTGATTTTCAACATGTACGGTAGGGCACTGTAGGTTTAAACACGTGTGTTTCTTAGTTTTGCAGATTTTTTAGTAGGTATCTGCCATGCCTAGATGGGGGATGGTGGCACTTTTCTCCGGACACCATGGTTTTGAACCGTCCGCTCTGCCACTCCGTCCCCAAAATTATTATTTAATATTATTTGAAATTAAATATTACGTACCTACTACCAAATTTTATCATTTCTAAGAGGAATCAACCAAAATATTTGAGTTCATTAATAATAATAATAATATGGGCCTATCATAACATTTTGATTAAAATTATATTTTAGTAAATATAAATAATATGAATAAGTATAATATTGTTGTTGATATTATTTTTTTCATTTTTGGAGTGTTATTGTCTTTTTTCATTTTTGATATTAATTTATATTAGGTATTTGTTAACGAATTATAATAAATATAAATAATATAAATAACTGTTTTTGATATCGTATTTTAATTATTAATTTGTACTACTTATGTTTTTTATTGATTGGTTGATTTATTAATTTTTTTTATGTCCATTTGTCCCTATTCGAATTAAAACCTGCTGTTAAATATTTTGAATATTATTATTTAAGTCCGGTTTTATATTCTCTTAAAACACCTAAAATATGGTGCATTTGTTTTCTATAGTCAAGTTCTGTGTTGAACAGTTCCATTTTAAAGATGTTTAAAATTAATGGACTTTATTAATTTTAAAAACTTAAAACTCGCAATCGCATAACCAAAATGTATTTGTATTTTTGATAAGCAAATAAGTTGTTGTTATCAGTATAGGTTTGGTAAATTAATACATAACGGCCCAGCGACTTAATAGTATTATCACTTGCGTATTGTTTTTTATCAAAATGTACTCTATGTACTCTGTGTTAAATAAATCATCTACATTTATTACTTTTGTAAGAATACATAAACTCAATAACGATAATATTATGTAAAAACATATAAATCCGGACTTAAATTACCTATTATCAATATATTCAATATAAATAGTAGGTACCTAATGATAAAGTAATAAATGTAAAAATGAATAGGTAGTTATTAGTTGTAAAATTAATTATATGGAAGATTACGACTTTATTCATTATTTTATTTTCCTATTTCTTATTCAAATTAATTTATGTTAGATTATTTACTATTTTATTATAACTATTGTACGTATATTGATTTTTTTATTTTTTATTTCATTCAGATGCCTACCAGTCAACAATAATGATCAACCATTTCGTCAGAGTGGGAGGAAAAATGGAATTATCCTCACTGTATAGGTACCATGGATGGCAAACATATAATTACACAGTGTCCCATTAACAGTGGATCCGAATATATAAATTATAAAGGAACATTTAGTGTTGTGCAGATGGCATTAGTAGATGCTAATTATAATTTTTTATTTGCCGACATTGGGTGTCAGGGCAGAATTGGTGACGCTTTTAGAAACACAACATTGTTCAAAAAAATTGAAAATAACGTATTATTACTTCCGGCAGATGAACCTTTACCTACTATTTACTAAGACTCTTCCTATGCTAAATGTTATTGTAGCAGATGATGCCTTTTCCTTATCTACAAACATAATGAAACCTTATCCGGGACCCTATGCTAAGGGTAGTGTTAAAAGGGTGTTTAACAACCGTCTTTCACGTGCTCGCCGGGTAGTCGAAAATGTATTCGGAATAATGGAGTCTACTTTTCGTATGCTAAGGAAACCTATACTATTAGAATCAGAAAATGTTACAAGCATTGTTATGGCATGTGTCTTATTACACAACTTTTTGAGAAAAAGTAGAACATCGTCGTTAAGATATACTCCACTCCGCACAATCGACTCTGAGAATGAAGGAGAGTTTATAGCAGGGACATGGCAAAATGAAATTGGAGACCGATCAACAATGATACCATTAAGAAATGTCGAGAGAAAATCAGGATTAGAAGCCTAAAAAAAAAGGGATGAATTCGCAGACTATTTTTCAACCACTGATAAGTTACCATGGTAAGACAAATATTGTTAATTACATATTTAAATATATTATAATCAATAAAATTAATTTACTTCTGTATTTATGGTGTCCCTTTTTTCATATTCCGATTTCAAACAATTTTCCATATTCTCATAGGCAAACCAACTTGTTTTAATTACGTTGTCCGTACCTGCGCCTGATTTGTTGCTGGTTTTTTTTTTGCCAAAAGTGGTAGAAATGTTGACATTAGCGATTCTTTTTTTTTCTTCAGCTCTTTGATATCTACTGGTATGCTCATTGAGTCTTTGATTTTTTTCCACGAATCAAAAACTATATCACGATTTCTATGTAATTGATCTTTCAGATCCCAAATCTCAATTTCTTTTTCATAGAGATCTAAAAACTCGACTGTCAATTCATTTGTCCACTCCATATTATAAACAATTTTTTATTTATCGAACTATTACTAATGAATAAAATAAATCACAGAACAATAATAAGGACGTAGATACATACTGCCGGGTTTATAATATAAATGTAGTATTGACTGTTAAATCCATCATTTTAACCAAATACTATACATATATGACAATACGGGACAAAACAATGATAATTGTAGATGATATATAGCCCCTAGAAATACTCGAATGCGCTACATATGTATATATAATCGTAGAGCGCTTTCGTTACTTGCTCAGGGGGAATAGGTACAATAGGTACATGTATCGCAATTGTTGACACTAGTTATCACGTATTGTCATTTATAGTATTTGTTTTAACTTCAAATATAATGTATATTATGTATAACAGAATTAACTATATTTAAGAAAACGATAAACTTCAGAATATTTAATAGGTAGGTACCTACTTATAAAGATATACTTTGTGATTTTGATAGAAGTAAGATTACATACTGAAGTCATTTAAAGCAAATTTTATTTTCTACTGCACCTATTATATAATATAAAAAAACTGTAAAAATACAGTACATAAAGGTATGTAGGTCTGAGTTATATTTTAATCTCATCGATTTATGATTTATTTGTTAAGAATGTAAGAAAAAAACTTAAATACGCATATAATAAATTAATACATTTTAGATTCTGAGTGAAACGATGAATGTATTGATTTTACAATGACGTGTGTTTTTTTTTGTGTCTGTGTACACGATAAGTAGTCGAAATAATGCTTCGATTTTCAACTTCAGTATCTTGTTCGATTGGAAAGTGAATATCGTTGGTGCATTGGGAAGGTCAAAATTTAAATATCCCAGTAGTTTTCAAAAGCGCCGGGAAAAACAAAAGAAAAATTAAGGAAAAACGGGAATTTTTACGCAAAAATCTGTTTTCGAGAAAATCGATTTTGGTTTTTGGTGTAACTTTAAAACAAATGACCGTAGATACATGAAATTTTCAGTGGTTGTTTATATTTGCATTTTCTATACACGATACCATTTTCAAAATATTTTGATTTATTTTGAACTGTTTAGGGACATTTTCAGTTTCCAATTTTATTAGTTTTTTTTTTATGAATATCAATAAAAATTTATTTGTTGGTTGAAAAAGCTTGAAAATTTAATAGAAGGCTCCTAGTATATTGTTTCAAAGGCAGATGAAAAACATTAAAAATCCTTAGTCACAGTTCTTTTATAAGCATTTAAAGTTCAAAATTTGACAAAATATGGAAAAATCTAGAAAAATAGCAAATTATTTTGAGTTAAGAATTCGTAAAAATTTTTCTTTTTAAATCTAAGATTTGAAAATTTAATACAAGATTACTCATAAGTTTGTCTACCTTTCTCAATAAAAAAATCTCTACCGGACAGTCAAATTAAATTTTTATGAGCGTTTGAAATTCAAATTTTTACAACATTGGATATTCACTCGATTTCTCATTTAGCGATTTCCTTATTTTGTTGTAATTCATAAACGAATAACTATAAATACATGAAAATTTCACTGAATGTTTATATTAGCATTTCCTATACACCATACAATTTTGAAAATATTGCGACTCTTTTTGAGCTGTTTACGGATATTTCCTTTTTTAAATTTTTTTAGTTTTTTTTTCTATGAATATCAATAAAGTTTTATCTGTTGGGCCAAAATGTGTAAAAATTTAATGCAAGGCTCCTGATATATTGTTACAATATCAGTTGAAAAATATTAAAAATACATAGGCACAATTTTTTTTTATAAGCATTTAAAGATCGAATTTTGACAGAATTTTTCAAAATCTCGAAAATTATCAATCATCGTAATTAATAAATTATAAAATGTTCAGTTTTTATAGCTAATGATTGAAAATTTAAAACAAGAATCCACGTAAGTAGTTAATTCTGTTACCAAAAAATCTAAAAAATACACAAGCACAGTTTATTTTTATGGTCATTTTAAGTTCAAATTTGGGACGAAATTACATATTAAAAAACCTAGCATACCTATTTTAGT